CCCATTTATTTAATATTTACCAACATAAAACTTGCCGCCATAGGAACGCAAACTCACGCTTTTAAATCCGCCCACATGCACTCACATTTGAACGGTCACAATGACGTCATTTTCGTCACCACTGATGACTCAGCTAACTCGCGACTCGATAACATAGTCCTTACTGGTAGATACCATTTGGAGCTTTTTGCTAGATTTGCCTGTCAGCTGCTGATGCTATCTGTGACAAAATATTTAATATCGTCCAAATAATGTTTACATAACTTCCAGTTTCGAACTGGCTCTCATTGTTCCTCATACGTGAAAATAGCAGGTTGACTTGTTATACTGAATAAGTGAATATAATTAACCCATTCCTTGGCCGCGTATAAAGTGACTTAAGGTAGACTCAAATCAGCGATGGACACAATTTACTGTAGTGAAGGTTGACAAGGTACATAGCTCATACGTGCGCAAAAGAAACGTAAAACCAAAAGTACTCCGGTCGAGAAGAACTTTACGCATTGCATCTTACGGTCTCCCATTGTCTTAATTCCATGGTGAGGAATTATACAATGTCTACAGCAACTTAGTGAAGTAAGGCTCTAGGTCCTATGACCGGGACAGACTGCCAATAACCCTCCAACGAAAGCGTTTTCGGACATGCTAAAACATGAAGGGAGGCCTTCTAGCACGCATGTGCATGGCTTAAATGAAATTCAAATAAAAACTGCATAGTCAGCAGACAGCGAAAGGGGAATTACGGTTCATTGGTATTTTCACCAACCCTCCCTGTCAATGCTTCGACCTCTTAACGTATTTTTTTACTAAGTAGTTAACTGGTTTATCAGGAATATGACCACTTGGCTCCTATAATTCCGCAGAAATTCCACAACAGGTCGTTGAACGTTGGCAATGGAATTATTTAAAACCTCTCGCAATTACGCAGTTTCGAGTCAGTATTACTGTGCTGTTGGTGGATTTCTCTCAGGTTGCACGCGGATTCTTGTTTTTTTCTTCACGATAAAGTGTCAACCCAGTTGGTTTGCAGTTGTTGGTTAACTGAAAGGCAGACAAAAATTGGGCAACTGTGCTTGTCGACCCATCCCACAAAGCGAAAAAAAACATTTTAAGTCGACCGAAAGAATAGGCAGCAAAGGCTTCGACGGAAGCCTTCAGCAGCCAAATTATGCAGAAGGAAAATGTCAACTGGTCGGATGGGTTGGGAAGTTGTGCCTTTTAAGTCTGAAAAACAAGGCCTAAAGCTCCTAATAAACTACTTCACGTGAAGAACGATATAATAGTTGCGCCATGCCTGTCAGAATTATGACATCATCATCTACCAACTATATAGTTTGAAATGTTACCTTTAGGAAATTCTCATTTCAACTTGTTCACATTTTAAAATACAGACTGTTCCTATATAACTTCTGACAGAAGTGAATCTGCGGACAGTGCTTAGTTCAGGTTGCGGATTTTAGGCCCAGCTGAATAGCGTTCTAGTAATTTTTGCAGAAGGTTATTTTACACCAGTTCGAGCTCTAAACCAAAAATTGTGAAATCGTGAAAAGCTCAACTACGTATTTGGCCAGGATTCAACAGCCGAAAGTGTTTTCCGACCCCCCCCCTGCCTTTCATTTTCAGCGCGCAATCCTGTCGTTGAATTAAGATGGTTCTGCCTGATAAGAAAATACGCGTGCAAATAGGGGGGTGGGGTGTGCTGGGATAAAGTCCGGACACATTTGACAGCAGATGCTATCCTGACAAGCGCGCTAGTGTTTGAAACGGCTAAGAGTAGTAGTTGTTGTTGTTGTTTTAATTTGCTAATGCATTTTGTGCGGGGGGCGGGGAGATTGCCTACCCTGATAGTGCCAATGCTCGCCTCGTTACGTTTGCTCGAGGCTGACATCTGCTCCGAGGGTAGTCGGTTGAGTTGCAACATCTCAATTTGATGCTTCTGACGCACAGCTTCCGTCGTGAATGTTTGCCACAGTGTTGCATATTCTTGCCAGTACCTAAAATGCAATAAACGCAAAAAGATTGGTGAAATTCGGATGATGGCGTGGCGACGAGCAATCTCTACTGCCCAATGTGGGCAATTATTTTTCAATTTGCAAAAATGTCCTTCGATAATTTTCATAATATAAAAATTAGATAAATTTTCATCAGGCCTTTACATTTAGAGGGTATTTAAGCAAATAAACTATGTGGGTTGGCTTTGGACAGCATCTATTGGCTAAGGGCAGAAGCGGCCGCCATCAGACTATGCCGAGCGGACCTGTACGCCCAAAGGAACTTCGCCGCAGTTACAGTGGCCGGAAGTCGCTAATCCAGCAGCCCGCCGCTTATCACCTTTGTCGGCTACCCGTCTGCCCTAACGCTGGCCAGCCTTTGAACCCTCCCCCTCTCACCTGCCCTGACAACCGCACAACTTTTTCTATCAACCTGCATAGTTTAATTAGTTAATTACCATATAAACGTAAAAACCTGACGAGTATTTATCGGAAACAAACGTACATTCGCCAGTTTATCTTCCGAAAGTATTTTTATTGAAACCTGACCTCCACTTCGCTGAAACTAGTTGGCAATTGGCCAGTAGCCTTTAAGCCAACAAACCGAAATAAAATGAACTGCGAAAAGCTTTTCTCAGTTTGTACACAACATTTCACGGACCGAATTGTGACCAAAAACTCTCCTGGCTACTCATAGCAACTTCTCTCTTACAAAATTGTACACTGCGGTGATGCAGGATAACAAAGAAGGGGAGATTTTGGCATGTAAGCTTGAAAATGTGCCTTGTTTAGTTTGCTACCTCTTAATTTACCTTGTGAAGTAGGATAAACTCCGTAAGCTACATTTTAAACTTTGAGAGTACCAACGAAAAAACAATAACTTAATTCCAGAGGTGTCTGGAGAACGTGAAGTGACACATAGCGTGTTTTGATAAATTAGCTAAATAATATAACGATTTGCGCGTTTGAAAGTTAAACATATTTGTAAGCGGAAAAACGGGAGAAGGATAAAAACTCGCCAGCTTATTTTAATTAGACTAACTGCCACCAATATGACGTTATATGTAGACTTTTATGCGCACTGAACATAGAGGGGAACATGAAAATTAAATGATTAACGTTGAATGAGTTAGTTATAGTTTTAGAGTTGAATGGAAAGGAGTTCAATGGAGTGCCAATATGTTATCACGTCTGAATTAATTTGCGGTTGGAATGAGATGTTCCATTAATGCCCTTTGCTATTTTTTTACATCAAATGCGAGTTATTTCGGCAAAGACAGTACGTATACAAGTACAGGAGTATGCTATGAATTTAAGTCATCTAAATTTTAAAGGTTGTTGACAATTTCAATCTAGGAAGCCGACTATTACGAATACATAAGCTATACATCTAATGCATACAATGAATAGCATAGGAACCATGACAGGTATTTGATATAAAATAACGAACTTTCTAGAAGTGGGATTAGCAAAATGATGCCCAACAAAGTATTGACCAACGTGGATGCAGATGGATATTTCAAGGTAAATTCGCAAGCCGAGCAAAACACCGACATATTTTAATGATTTAGACGAGAAAGCTCGACGTTAAGCTTAATGAACCTTTACTGTACATAACAGGAATGTCTTTTAGTCCCCAAAACTATATATAGTTGCACTTAGAGTCTTCTCAAATTACTTAAGTGGTAATCTAAACTGACGTGAAGACTGACGCCTCAATAGCAAAAGTAAAATGAGGAAAATTCACAGGGAGGCCGTAGTTCGTTCCATTGCCTTTCCCAAAACGGATTCTGCACTCAAACAGCAACGACTAGCCACCTTAAAATGTATATTTAACTTACGGTCGACACATGTGGAACTGTCTACAATAGGTTTCCAAACGGCCATTCTGCGTCTCAAGAAGGGCAGACAGCCATTGGAACTCGCCGCGGTCCGTTTGCTGTTCCTCCGCAGAGTTTATGTTATCCAAATTCGATGCACAATTCTGGACGATTCGGTCATGCTGAAGTCTGCAAGACTTGAGCAGTTCAGCTGTCTTTGAGGCTGACTCCTGCGCCAGGAGGAAGTACTGATCCAAATTCTGTAAAAGGAATTTCATATTTAAAGTAATTCCAGATACTTGAGTCATTTTCATCACAAGTATCATTGATCATTAATGAATATGTCAATTACTTCACATATACTGACTTGATCAACTTTTGATAAGAAGAATTTTTATCGAACGCCAGAATCCTGATTTTATTAATCTAAGCTTTCGGGCTCCTGCAGGAGTCCATCGTCAGAGAGGAATGTGAACATTTGCCTCAATTCGTGAAAAGTTCAGGCGCGATGCGCTTCGGACAGCTCGCAGCTGGGAGATATTTGCCACAGGAGAGGTAGCAGCTTATGAGCAACTACGTTTCCTGCACCAGTGCATAATTTTTTACACGTTCACATTTAAGTTATTTTGTACACACGCCAGAACTAGCAACCCCATTTGTCGTTGTTTTCCCATCTCTGACGATGGACTCCTGCAGGAGACCGAAAGCTCAGACCAATAAAATCACGATTCCGGTGTTCGATAAAACTTCTTCTCAAAATATACACGTTCCTGGAATGCGAACATTGGCCTAAATTTGATCAACTTTCAATACTACTTTATCTAATTTCTTTTCGCGAACATATAAACATCTAGGAAAACATTAGATATCGTACAGACACTGCGAAAGTGGTCCGAAACACTACAACATACTGGACAAGCAGACGTTTCATACTCTTCCATCATGTCATCAATAGCCTCTCTGATATTTGTCTGCTTATCTTTGGTAATG